TGGATAGAAACCATGCAAATCGGTTTGCCAAGTCAAATTTGGAGGAGGTCCATATGCTGTACTTATCCTTCCTCTCAACTAAGGAACAAGAATTATTTTCTAATGAATTTTCTGAGATTAAAACTGATATTTTGATAGGATTTATACACACATTTATATATAAAGATTAAGATTTTATTGCTTAATAAATTGTAGGATTTTAACCTAACTGATTTTAAATCATTCCCCCTTCTAAATATATGTGCTCTAGAGTTGATTTATGTGTAGATTTTAAATTCTAATCTACTAAATTTAATTATAAATCCAAAAAAAAATTTTAAAATCCCCCCAAAAAAAAACAAGACCTTAATTGAGTTAGCGAGGCTCTACCTACAGCTGTTGCAAGAGGAATTTAGCTTTATCATACCATTTTAAGCTGTAAAAATTGAACAAAATTCTTAAATAAATTAAAAAGATTCCAGTAGAAAGTTATAAAAACAGTAGAAAAGTCTACTAATTAACTAGTAAAATACTTGTTACTAGAGTTAAAAACAACAGAATCTACTCATTAACTAGTGACTACTTGTAACTGGTGTAGCATCCTTAATTTTGGATCCCTCAGTATACTAAAAGGAAAAAAAAAAATCCTTAAAACTCTTATCAGAAAGGTCCCAACAGGTTATTTTTCATTAAAAGTCCTTTAGCGGCATCCCTTCTATAACTTCCTACTCATTGAAAAACTTATGAGGACTGATTGATAAGGCATTCCACACATCTCTTACATAACCTTGGCAAATAACTCAAGGCTGTTTTGAATGAGATGAAGACCTCGTCACTTGGCTCATTCGCACTATTATCTTCTAAAACTATCTGCTCCATGTTTTAAATACAGAAAACTCGTTAGAAATTATAAAATGATTAGGAGGCCAACATCACCTCATAACTAATGCCTCATACAAAGTAAATAAGGTATAAAGTGATTATATAATAATTACAGCATTCTACAACCCTTCAAAGTAGTGGCAGGAAGGTAGTTTTTTTCTTTTGGAGGGGGTAAATATTTTTGAAATTAAGTCTAATTTTTAAGGTTAGGAGGAACTCAAGTCTTATTTTTAAGCTTGGGAAGGAATTGAATCTCATTTATAAGTTTAAAAATGACTTTTTTAAGTCTAGTTTTTAAGCTCAAGAAGGACTTTTAAGTCTAATTTTTGATCTCAGGAGTGGCTCAAGTGTAATTGCAGAGCTTAGGAAGGACTTTTAAGTTTATTTTTTAAACATTAATTCTGTAGGGTGGGGAGGAGTATTTTTTTAAATAAAACATTAAATAAATTTAATTTAATGTGGGTTAAAAACACGTTATAGAAGGTCTATCGATCAATAATGAGTATTGTTAAAGCTTCGCCAATGTTAGGTGTTGAAGAAGTATAAAAATCGTGACGTAAGTGATCTTTGCTCTTTCCTCTATTGTATTGTTGCAGACGTGGCTTAGCATGTTATTTGGCAGGAAATAATCCAAACAAACTAGTCCTCCATTATGCCTACTTTTTTGTGTAGAGGCATAATTATTAATAACCAATAATTAATCTATTTACAAGTCCAAACTCCATTAAATCTAAAACTAATGGAGTTTACATACAAAAATAATTGATCATGCCCTAGTTTTGGGGATTTAAAACTTATTTTTCTGTATTATTAAGCTACAAAACTTATTTAAATTTATATATTTATAAAAAAAAAACCTCGTTATAACGTATTAATTAAATTATAAAGTAATTTTAGTTAAAAAAAAATCCTTAAATTCCAGCGCTAAAAGGCCGTCAGACTAATCGCTTTATGCCTGATTAATGCCCGTTTTATGTAATTATAATTATTAATATTTAATAATTAATTAATTTATAAATTTTAATGCTTATAAAATTCATTTCGTCAGCTTTTCCTTTGGATTAAACATGTTGTGGCCCTAAGGTACAACATTTAACAGGCCCTTCCTGTCCATCAAAATAATGATACACGTAAAAATGTGAGGTTATAAGATAGACACGCATGACTCGAGGCCCTTTTATTCCACTAAGATAATGTTACACGCAAGAAATGTGAGGCCCTAAGCTAGGCTATAAGCTATACAGGCCCTTCCCTTCCACCAAAACAATGAGACACGTGAAAATGTGAGGTTCCTAAGATATAGGCTCATAATTCCAGGCCATAGCGCTATAGGCCCCAAGCTTTAGATTCGTAAGGCAGGCCCTAATCCGTAGACTCATAACTGGAGGCCCGTAGATGCGACCAACTTATCCGACGTGAAAATCCGGCGCTGCCGATACCCCTTTTTTTTGTAAGGCGGCGACATAAACCTCACTCCATGGCGAGAGGGGGGTGATGTTTACATTTTTCTGGTCGTTAAACATTTTTAAAACTTCGGAAGTGTCGCAATATCGCAACTGTACAGAGTGGGAGTGACGTATTAGTTGTCGATGATGAGGTGCAGGAGGCCTGAGTAACAACAGAAGTTGTATTTACGACCCTTCGGCAGGATGTCCGAGATGTTGTTTGTAAGCATCTTGACAGTAAAACAAGAGCTCCCACTTTTCTCTCTGTCTTTTTTCTGGGGGGGGTGGAACTTTACTACTAAACAAAGCTGTACAGTCCAAATAACGATGCCCCCCGGTATAATGCTAAAGTTTACGACTTCTTTCCCGTTTTTATGACGTCCTACCAATACTGTACCCCCCTTTCCTCTGCAAAGTAAAGTATCACTGAATGAAGTTTTACTACTTTAGACAACGTCTACAAGCAATAAAAGCGTTTGAGACAGTAAAGTGTAATGAAGAGGCCATGATTTAACAGTGAGCTTCAGTTAATGCTACTTAGAGCTGCACTTCTTTAACTAAGCTCCCATAAATCACTGTCGAAAATGGGATAAATGTTTTGAGATGACTTCACCGACCTTACGTGTTTCTCTATTAGTTTCAATGCTTGTTGCTTAATTTTAGTGAAGCCTTCCGCCTCATTTGCACTTAACCGAAGCGGTTTTAAGGTTTCTACAGTTTTATTAATGATCCTTATAGTTGTTACAGGCTGTAGAAAGTGTGTTTAATAAGATTTTCACCCCTTTAGATTTAAAAAAAAGCGATTAAAACATCATAAACACGAGAAGAATCTCTCATCCAGCATCATCTTTCATCTTTTTTATCCATTGAGTTTGCGGATTCTAACCGATAAAAGGCCCTTAAACTACGAAATATAAATCTGTAGATGGGTCCTACTTCGTCCAAAATGTAATATTAGTTAATCAGATCCCGAATTTTCGGCAGTCGTGACCACACACTGTAGAATTTAATCTAAACTTCTGGTTAAGAGAGAGGGCTACCTTATACTTAATGAATTCAAACTCCTATACATTATTAACTCTCTTGATAATTTTAAAACAATAAATTAATATTAAAAATAAGTTTTAATAAAATTTTTTAAGTTTTTAAATTTAAAAAATGCGATTAAAACACCATGAAAACAAGAAGAATCTCTGATCCAGCATCACCTTTCATCATCATTATCCGATGAGATCGTGTATGCTAACTGATAAAAAATCCCTTAAACCATTTAATATAAGCCTGTAGATGGGTCCTACTTTGTCCAAAATGTAATATTAATTACTCAGATACGAATTTTCGGCAACTTGGCCACTCTCAGAAGGAGTTAATTAATCAAAATCTAAACTTCTAGAACTAGTAAAGAGGCCTTATTTATACTTGTGACCTTTAATTAAGCTTCAATATATCATTAACGCTCCTAATAATTTTATAAATAATAAATTAAAAATATTTTTTAATAGAATTTTTAACTTTTTAAATAAAAAAAATGCGATTAAATCTCTCATCTAGCATCATTTTTCATCATCTTTATCTTTTTAATAAGTTCGTGGATAAATGCTTAAAAAGGGAGCCTAAACTGTTAAATGTAAGTCTGTAGGAGGTCCTACTTTGTTCGAAATATAATATTAATTACCATGATCTAAATTTTTGGCAAAGGTATCCCCTTCTTAGGAGTTTAAACTTTCTAGAACCGATTTTCTGGTTAATTTATAAAGATAGGGCTTTCTTCATTGGATCTTTAGATGCACAATTCTCGTATATATCTGCTAGGAAATCGGGCCCTCGTTCAAAAAATAAATAAATAACTTTTGGATCTTAGTTTTAATTGTTTAACCGGCCCGGAACTATATTGTATAAGTAAGGTATTTGCCAACGTCTTGCGTTATTGTCGTTACGAGTAGAGGCAAAGCATCTAAATTGATGGCAGTCACGTGTTCACTTGTGGTAATTAGGATGCAACACAAACAGGCTCTCAACGACCGGATACTGTCTCACTTGCTAAATATGGTTTAATGAAAGAATCTCTTTGTGGACATACCAGTTAGGCCGAGACACCTACACACTCTGGTTGTGATTCGATAAATGTGCCCTCTAAATCGTTTACAGGCGCAAACAACAATGGCTTTTTAATAAATTTATATTATTTGTGAAATATTCCAGCATTTTCGACCAGTTTTAAGTGAAAAAATCTTTTATTTCGATCGCCAAATCCATTCTCCATCTTAGTAGATCGCGCGCGAGATAATCTTTCCATATTTTTCCGGATCGTTTTTTACGCTATATTTTAATTATTTTTAAATATTTTAAAGTTTATAACGATGCATTTACGTGTTTTCTTTTAATGTAATCGTATGAAATTGTCTTAATCGATTAAAATTTTAAATAAATTGAATTTCCCTGAACGTCCTTCAATGCGCTCTCGTAAATCTAACGAATGAGATGTGCGGAGAAGTCGACTCGAAGGGGCCACTAATTGCCCAACTTTTTTAACGTTACGTATTTAATTTACAGTGTTAATTAGACCATAAACGAGCCCTAAATTTGATTAAACTATTTCGAAATTGTAGAATTTACTGTTAGATTTCGAAGTTACGCCGTAGATCTGGAAGAAAACTCAACATAACGTTTTTTTTTTCTTATTTTTCCTTTCAGGTCAAGGCCGTGTAAATCAATTAGGAGGAGTGTTTATCAACGGCCGGCCCCTTCCCAATCATATTAGGTTGAAAATTGTAGAAATGGCCGCAGCAGGGATCCGTCCATGCGTTATTTCGAGGCAATTGAGAGTGTCGCACGGTTGTGTCTCCAAAATCCTCAACCGCTACCAGGTGAGTACTTTGAGGGGGAAAAATCCCTCGTCTCCATCCCCCTCCGTACAATAGCGCGGCTCCGTATTGATTGCACGCATCCCACCTCACGCTTAAATCAATATTCGTGATGTGGGAGGTCCTTCAGGAGGATCAAAGTGCTCGAATGTCTTCGACGTCAATTATAATTAAGGGCGATTGACCTCGTAATACGGTTCCAGTCGGTATTTTTAGTAACCACGTGGTCTGGCGGCGGCGTTAGGACCGCCTTATGCTTTATTTCGAAGCGTGCTTGACAGGCACGTCATACATAATACGGGCCCAGTCGCGAGACACATCAATGGGGTAAGGAACACACTTTTCTTGTAAGCGCGAGCAGTCAAAATGCTAATTGAGCGAGTGTTCTTTTCTTCTTGGGAGAAGTCTTAAGCGTGAACTGCACCCCAATTACCTACTCTTCTTATGTTGCCTAATGAAAGGCACGTGCGGGACAACTCCTGCCAATTAGAAATATTTCTTCTGATTGGTTACCCTCGGGGGGAGAAGAAGATGTCAACGCCCGCGAATTAAAAGACGCTCGGAGAATTAATGAGCTGGGATAGAAAAGGGCTACCTCCCCTAGAAAGACACCCGACCACACACAAAGACAGATCGCAAAAGAAGGCCCGATAATTGAATCGCTTCGTTACAGGCCCTCTGATGTAACAGCGAATCGTTTCGCCTGTTACGGATTGTAACGGGGTATGAATGAGAAGTTTAAACAAACTTTTTTCAATTTATATTTCTCCATTTACATCCGTAACATCATAAGCAATCTTCCCCGAATGTCTCCTCGTAACGGATCTCGCATATACAGCAATTAATAACCAGTTACGAGCCATTAAGCAGCTGAAGTACCTGCGTATTGCAAACGGTTAAAACTTAAATAAGGCTATAGAATATAATTTTAAAGCTGAATCTTAAAGCTATTTACAATAAATTATTATAAAATTTCATATTCTGTTACCTTTAAAGATGGTAAGGAGGAAAAACTGGCATAAATAAGCCTTATTGAGTAGAATGCATGACATTTGACCATTAACAAAAATGAAAGTTCGTGCCTTTAATCAAGCTTCGAGGCCTGCCTTAAGGCTAAAATTAATCTTCTAGTGCTATATTTTTAAGCGGAAAGCCTTAAAATTCTTATTTATGCAAATTTTAGGAAGTTGTAGAGGCCTTCCTTATCTGACTTGAAATTTGTGGTACCGCGCGGTAGATGTAAGTGCTTCAACGTAGCTTATAAGGCTTAAGATCGTTTATAAAGGCTATTCATAATAAAGGCTATTTTAATATATAAATTTTACTTATTTGCAAAAAGGAAATTGCTTTAAAATTGGCATAAATGAGCGAAACATTAGCATTATGTCTGCCAAGAAAATCATTATTTTTTAACTAAAGGCCTTAATTTAAGGCTTTGAGAACCTGGTTTATGCTTAAAACTAAGCATTTTTTCTTTGTAATTTGTAAGAAATTAGTTTTACTCGTCCGAATTTCAAACAGAATCTTTCATAGGTTAAAATTGGCGTGGAGGTATCATTCGGAGGTTTATTTTCCTCTGCTTCAGAGGATGTTTCAGTGGTTTTTATCTTAAAAAGAAGCATTTTTTCGATAATTTTTAAGCATTAACTTAACTAAATCATTTTAGCATATTTTTAAACAGTAGATAATTTTGATGTGAGAGGTATCTTTCGGAGGTTTAGTATGGACTGCCTTACCTCTTCCTCAGAGGATTTCGGAGGCTTTTATCTTAAATTAGCTTGGTCTTTTGATTTTCTTTTTTCTTTTTGATAATTCCTGAATATTTCTAAAATAATTTCCTGGCCAAAATTTCATTTCTACTGGTTACCGTCGAAGTTATTTTTAGCAGAACACATAATTATCCCCTCCGTAAAATAATTCATCCAAAATAAAGGCTATGCCTGTCAAATTTTTTGACTTATGATCGATACAGAGTTACTTCTCTTGTGTTGTTAACACCGTAACACCGACGTAAATCCAAAAGTCAGTCCTCCTGCCAAACGATTTACAATAGAAGGGCACGTCTGCCACTAACACCAGATCCGGTGGTTCCCATCGAAATCCCATATCCCCGCCCTCTGTACAGATCGGCAAGAGGCTCAGCCGATTAATGGCAGCTTTGTGGCCAGCTTGGCCTTTTCATACGGGGGGATTATGTCGGCAGCGTGGGAAATTGCAACCTAAACATCTCCATTTTGAAACCGCAAATGCGGTCCAGGTGCTTGCTGCTTTGATAAACATCCAAATGCGACTTATGAGGATTTCTACTAATAATATATTTTTCTGTCGTGGGGTAAGCCCGTGGCATAAATCCTCACGTGGCATCTGGATAGCGGCATATAACTTTGGAAGGGCATTAAAAAATCTTGTGGGTACCTTGCTTTGTAATACAAGTTAACAAGCCTAAAGCCGTGTTAAAGTCGAGTAATTTAAGAAATTTTTTATATTCTTACGGAAGTTTGAAAGGCCTTTGGTTCGGCTCCGATGCCTTTCGGAGCCGAACCAAAAGCCTTTCTAAGCCATGCTAAACAAGCTCCTTCTCGGACACGAGAAGGAGCTTGTTTAGCATTGAAAAGAAGAATCTTCGTCCATGCTGGATGGGTCTGAAAGGCGTGCGTTCGGCTCCGAATTTAGCATTAAAAACAAGTAAAACATATTTTTCTTGGTCCTGGGAAAGTCTAAAAGACACCGGAACCGAACCCACATCTTTTACACCCATCTAATATCATGAAAGACATTGTTCTTCCTCGTTTTTACGTCTTTAACTGTTATATTTTTCGGATTCGATTTTAGGTTCATATGTCGGATAGTCTGTAAGTTTGTTAAAAAGTTAAAAATTTAAATTTAGGCCCACGAAAACCTATAAAATCGACATCTTCTATAGAGACTTGAGACTTCTTATGCAAGAATTAAAGATATTGATGAATTAAAGATATTGATGAATAAATTACACTTTTATACTTTGTTTTAATAATTTTTAACCATAAAAATGGAGTCTTGGGTTCGGTCTGGATGTAATTTCATAAATTTATGTTCCAGGAAACTGGTAGTATACGACCAGGAGTGATAGGAGGGAGCAAGCCTCGTGTAGCTACACCAGAAATAGAGAAGAAGATTGAGGACTATAAAAGAGAAAATCCTAGTATTTTCAGTTGGGAAATAAGGGATAAGTTAATCAAAGAAGGATTATGTGATAGGAGCACGGCCCCTTCTGTCAGTTCTATCAGTCGTCTTCTTAGAGGAGGAACTGGGAATGGATTGAGAAGTTATCGAGAGGACGAGAAATTGGACAGTGTAGAAGGTCCCACTAAAGGAGGAGGACACAAGCATACAATAGACGGTATCCTGGGAGAGAAAAAGGATGGTAAGTCCTTAAATTACCTTATCAATCTATACAGACTAACATTCTACTAAACCATATTCCGAGAATCGTGGGTTAGGTTCCAGTCCCGAAACAAAGGACACTTTTCGACTTATCTGTAAAAGAAGTGAATTTTTATGAACTGAATTTATGAAAAATTTGAAAATTTCATTCATTTTATGAACTTTTAGGACCATCAAAAATGAATATTTACGGACAAAATGGCAGAAACAGCAAACACTAACATCGATGAAACTCAATGGCTGATGCTGCAGCACTTCAATATCAACTTAAGGCGCAGTTTGATTCAATTTTATGCGTAAATTAAAGGGAAAAAATGTAGCTTGGGCACTCGTTTAAGCGCAGTATATCAAAATAAAGCTGAAATGATGCGGCCCATAGCTTCAGTGGCTCGTACTTTCTCATCATGTTTGAGATTTCTTATCATATTGCCGCGTATAATACACTTGGCCTTCATAAATATAGGCCTTCATATACACTAGGCCTTCATAAATTACCGTGCAACAGGCTTATATTGCCCCTCCACACGTTAAATTTTGACTAATTTTTGTGAAAATAGACAAAATGTAACAGCGCATACAAGGAATATTTATATATTTTAGTACAGGTTATCATATCCATGAAAAAATTCTTCGAATTTATGGGAGGTCTTCTTAGAAAAAAGTAGGACTTTATTCAGGAGCCTTCAGCGAAATTCCATTCGAATGAACAAAACTTAAAGTGGCACGCGCACGGGGGATAATCCATATTTATGAACGGCTAGTCACGAAGAAAAGGGCCTAAAAAAGAAATCATTGTAACACAAAGACTCTCCTCATAAAAATCATTTTTCGGACCTCATAACCAGACAGAAGCCGGTCAGTCATTGCTGGCTCGTTTGACTCATGAAGATGGCCATCAAGAGGAGGAGGGTCACGAGGTCTCATCCATTACATACACCGTGTGATGGAAGACCATAGTGGTATGAGGTCAGTGGTTGGAGAAGGGTTAGATTGCTAGGTCCTAGTTGATCCGTCATACTTGTAACCTCAGTTAACGCCCATAACAGCGGCATTTTGGACGTCGAGGCGGGTTTATAACTGATTAATCTTCTCATTTAAGGACCGCCGCGGATGTTACGTGAGTCTTTAAGAAAAATGGGGGGAAAATAACAAAAAAATAAAAGTAAAAATAAAATAAGAACGTTTATTGTTGTTTGACAGTGTGCAACGTTTTTCCAATCAGTATTGTAAACGCGTAATCCAGCTGCTATGTCACACGTTCGTGACCGGGCCACTATTATTAATGATTTTAATGCTAGTGTTTTCCTGTCGCCCCAAACATTCATTAGAATCTTTTTAAAAGTGCGTTGATATGGTGGGTGGAGGCAAATAAATGCCCTATGCCAGGTGTTATAGATCTTCCTCGATTGCTATCAATAGGCCTACAGTTTAGTAGGGGTATTAAAGTGTGCCACTCGTTGTTTCCTCTGTGTTACGTGCACACTGTGTCTTTAACTATCCAACTTATAATTTAGATAGTTAAAGACTTGGGTTCGGTTCTCACACGCGAATACACTCCTCATTTTAAATCCCGATTTGTTTCGTTAATTGAAACACGAGCGGTTTATCTTGAAACTATTGAAAGGGCCTTTTAATTATATCGCGAGTTTAAAAAGTAGGCCTCCATTTTAAGAATACGTTCCATTATTGGGAATAGGTAACACGCGGGTTTTTTCTTTGCCTTCAGCCATAAAGATATTGATGATGATTCTTTGAAAGGCCTTGGTATTGCACCATAGGCTATGTTACAATGAGTGAAAGCATAGTAATTATTAACTCCGAACAGTATATAGTGACGCAGAAATACATTTCACAGCTGTGTTCTTCGTAAATAATTGATGTAACATAGTTTAAATAGTGTAGGTTAGCCTATAGGCCTGTCGATAATAATTAAAGACTGTGCGTGGTTTGTTTAAGATTTAAATATTTAATATATATACATGTATATACTCGTATTTTCCTTAGGCCTAGAATAATTTAGATAACAGAGAACTTAAATTTCAGGTGTCAGTAGTCAGAGGAGATTAGTAGGGAGTTGAAGAGCTTGGTGATAAACTGGTAAAATGGGAAAGAAAATAGCAAAACACGTTTCCATTTCGGTTAGAATGTCAATGGACACTAATAACACCCCGTGAGTTCGTTTTACCCATCCCCCGTTGGCACTGACCCCTGTAACAACCTATCCCCCTTCTCGTAATCCACCCAACCGCCCGAGGATCAGTTATGCCCGATCACGTTACCACCTGGCTTTGGCAAAAACGGGCCAAAAACTGTCCCCAAACACCTGCTGGATGCGTGCGCTTGTACCTGTTCACAACCGAATTCCCACAACCCGAAAGAGGAAAAAAGGACACCCACACAGCAGGTGTCAACCGGCCGGGGAAGTCTATTCAATTAAGGTTGAAGGTCTATCAACATTTATTAGAATCAAGGTGTTGCTAGCTTAAAGGGCCACACAAGTCGGTGTCGGTAATATGCACGAGATCCCTTAAAACAGGACGACCTTTAAGACATAAGATGGACCCAACTCTTGCTGCGTATTGTGGATGGTGTCCCGCCTAGTGCCCTCCTGCATTCAATGGGTGGTTGGGTGACTGTGTGGGTTCTGAACAGATGAAAGGAAGCCGCTCGCTCGAGAGGGCACGTAACACCCCGAGGCTGAAAGTCGCCAAAGACTGCATCTTTTCTAATCTATCGGCTCTAAATGTAATGAGAATTCACACGGCCAGTTACATCTCTCGATTATCTAAAGGTTAGATAATCAGTTAAAGAGTTGGTAAATTGCAATCCGTGGGGTCATCAGACCCTTCCTCTCGATTAGGTTGATTTCGCCCTTGGGCCTACCAACGAAAAATTGCTCCCGACTAAGTAACGATCGAGGTAATGGTACAGAGAATCGACCCCCTTTAAGGGGTGAAAATAAATAAAACAAAACGAAAATTATATCTATTTATAAATGCCAATTTCGCGCCAATGCGTTGTTTACATTTGAGAAAGCTTCTGTCCGAAACGTTGTTGAAATACTCCAAACAACTAAACATAAGTCATGCAACCAGGGCGTAGTCGCCATGTCGGTGTTCTGTGTATTTTCTCTTTGACGTTGATTAATTATACAACATTAATTTATAAAAAAAAATTCTTTAACTCGACTCGTAGGTGCTTATGATTCAATAGTTCACACATCCTCCAGGGGGTTGTGAGGTCGGTAGCTATTTTCGATTTAGATTTTTGTGGTATGAAAGTCATTCGAGTCTGACAATGGTTTGTCTTCCTGGCTAGGCTGCTGGTATGGAAAAGGGCCAAATTTCTAAACCATCCCTTTTCGATGACAGATTTTTCTTGTATTCTCCTCTCCCCCACTGTGGCTCATTAGTACATCGTTTAGAGAAACATTCCTCGACGTTGGCTTAACAACGGATTGTGACACTCTCGAGTGTTCCCCTTTTTTTTTCTTGTATCTTCTACCGAACATTTCCAGTTATTTTAAGTCAGTTCACTAATTAAATAAAAGAAATTTATTCTATTTGAGAGGTAATTACCTCAGCATTTTTTTTTAAATTTTAAAACGTATTATAAATAATTATTTTTGTAAATTTTTCAAATAATAATCTATATAATTCGTTATTCGTTATAAAAATTTTGTTATTTACAATTTAAAATATAAATTTTTAAAAATATATGTACATTTCTATCGTCAACCAATAGGGACGTATAAATTCAAATATTCAAATATTTAAATTTGAATTTCTACGCTCCTATTGGTTAATAATTATGCGACGGGTAAATTCGAATTTAAATATTTAAATCTATACGTTCGTATTGGTTAATAAATCGACGGATACATTCGAATTTTTAAATTAAACGTCTCCGATTGGTTAATATCGATTGGCCGGATCGGAATTTAAATTTTAAAAGCCACTAATTTGTTTCTTCTTTATTTTCTTAAGACACAAACTTTATCATTATTTTTATTTTTTTCTTTTTAATTTTTAATTTTCGAATTAATATTCATATAATTTTCATTTTTCGGCTTTGAAAAGAAGACTTTTCACAACTCGTTTAGTTTTTTTCGGTCACGTTCAGATCTTGGGAGGTCGGTTTTTAGTAGAAGAAAGAGATAGAAAAGGGGGGAGACGTGATAGAAGAGAGGGTGAAGCACAATAAATTTGATTAAAGCACTCCCTCTAGCACGCAATGGCGGAAAGCATTTTCCTGGTCCGTTTTGCTGCACGCGCGCCAAATTTGCACAGTACAGGACCAAAGTCATAAGAGATAGAAAGAGAGAGAGAGAGAGAGAGAGAGAGGCATCTGGTTAAAGGCTTGGGGCAAGAGCAGGTTAACAAAATGTGGTCCCTGCTACACGCTCTGCCTGCAGCTCGTCGTCCCTGATGTCGGTAATTATTGCTGGTGGTGTAGTAAATGAGTGTTAATGAAGGATCGGTCCAGCACTTTTGCACTTTGTCCAACACCGCCACACGTTGCGGGGCGTGTAAACAGCTGGGGAAAGGAGAACAGATGAAAATCTATTATCCGTTTTAGCTGTTATTATCCGGAATAATATCGTTTAAGAACTATTTTACCACATTACATCCGTTTAAATGGCCTTTTAATCGTTAATTAATAAAATACTCGCTCGGGCGAATGTATTAAAATAATAATAAAATCAATTGTCTGTCTGTTGATTGAAGTTAAATATATTATTATTATTATTATTTAATTTTTTTTTCTGGTGGGTGATTAGATGGATATTTTGATATATTTATTTAAATTAAAATTAAGTTTTTAGAGTTGGGAGAGCATTTTATTATTATTATTATTCTTAAATTTGCCCAGAGAAATAATTAAAATTGAATGATTTTTTTGTAAATATAGGTTATATTATTCTTGTAGGAACAATGCCCTAAAAGAAGTTTATCGTGTGGCATATGGCCTAATGCCCTC